TGCCACACTTACGAAATTCGTGATTTTTATTATATTTATTTCAATTTAGGCACGGCTCTGGTGGCGTGGACAAAAGGAAAGGTCTCTGTTTCTGAATGTGTAAAGAAGTGTAGCGTTAACTACATGGACTAACACAGAGGACGTCGGACGGAGGTGTTGCAATTTTAATGAATAAATCTTCATGACTGGCTCGCTACATAATGCTGTCATTTTTTGTCTTTGTTTTTATCCTGCTCACAGATCCTGCCACATTATCCTATGTGCCAAACACACAGTGTCTCCAAGGGCGTTTGTGATACGGTTTTGTGTTTCATAAGATATTCTAAGTGTACAGACTGGAATACTGTTAAATGCGACGTTAAACCCAACTCACTCACTCACTCACTCATTCTAAGTGTACATGATAAAGTTTGCAAGGAAAAGTTACTCATGGAGATTAGTTTACTTACATAAGGTTAATCGATACATGTATTTACACATAATCAAGTGCGCAGCAACAACAGTATACTGTTTTAAAACATGCATATATGTACCAACACAATCATTCAGAGCAGGGGAATATATGCTGGGCTTTAAAAGTTAAACAGTTATTTTACAATTGGAACAACCAGGAGTGAGTGAGTGAGTATGGTTTTACTCCGCTTTTAGCAATATTCCAGTAATATCACGGCGGGGGACACCAGAAATGGGCTTCACACATTGTACCCATGTCGGGAATCGAACCCGGGTCTTCGGCGTGACGAGCGAACGCTTTAACCACTAGGCTACCCGACCGCCCCGGAACAACCAGGAAGAAAATTAAGTACATCTAATATATTTAAGCAACGATATATATAATAAATATTGTTAATCACGTATGGCCTGAAGATTTACGTTCGTATTCAAAACTTACAGAAACATAAAGCATACCAGTTTTGCATACAATTTGTCATGTCAAGTCTTTGATTGGCATTTAGAAATGGTACACATGTGGAAGAGAATTTATGGATGTCAACTTCTTTATCATGAGGAAACACATAAGTATATGCTTACTCCTTACATTAGGTGCATCAAAGCATTCATTCACCCGATGAAGGAGTAAGCATATACCCCGAAACGTTTTGTTTCCTCATAATAAAGAAGTTGACATCCATAAATTCTCTTCCTTATTTGTCACGTGTTAATGTTAAAGCATAGCGCATTGCTTTAAGCCAAATTCGAAAGTCATGGTGCCCTGTGAGATATGTGTCCATTGGTGTATGGTGTTTGTTGCTTTGGTTGCTCGATGCCACAGTATTTTTGTAACAGTTAAAGAGATCCATCAAAGTATGAAGATTAAAGTTTTCTCGAAATATGATTCTCTAAATGCTTAAACCTATTGTTCTGGATCGTTTTTTTTAAGATTTACACTCGATTATCGCTGTGTATTGTTATTGGTTTCATAACCCAATTACATTGTAGAGTTTTAATCTACGTAACAGGGGCCCGTTTCATTTCTTCCGGGTCAGAATAGGTTCCCAATACCCTTGCCTGTACTCGTCGACGTGTGTCCTTACTCAATACTCCACGGTGGAACTCGTCGACGTGTGTCCTTCCTCAATACTCCACGGTGGAACTCGTCGATGTGTGTCCTTACTCAATACTCCACGGTGGAACTCGTCGACGTGTGTCCTTACTCAATACTCCACGGTGGAACTCGTCGACGTGTGTCCTTCCTCAATAATCCACGGTGGAACTCGTCGACGTGTGTCCTTACTCAATACTCCACGGTGGAACTCGTCGACGTGTGTCCTTACTCAATACTCCACGGTGGAACTCGTCGACGTGTGTCCTTCCTCAATAATCCACGGTGGAACTCGTCGACGTGTGTCCTTCCTCAATAATCCACAGTGGAACTCGTCGACGTGTGTCCTTCCTCAATACTCCACGGTGGAACTCGTCGACGTGTGTCCTTCCTCAATACTCCACGGTGGAAGTCATAACAGACTGTTTCACCGTCCAGACTCGATGTCTTTTCAAACCGTCTACCTATATTAAGCTATATGTCTTTACAACCTGTTTCATGTTCCACGCTATGTTTCTTTACAACATGTTTACCTGTTTCAACCTATGTTTCATTAAAACCGGTTTGCCTGTTCCAAGCTTTGTGTCTAAACAACCTGTTTACCTGTTCCATGCTATGTTTCTTTACAACCTGTTTACCTGTTCCAAGCTTTGTGTCTAAACAACCGGTTTACCTGTTCCAAGCTTTGTGTCTACACAACTGTTTACCTGTTCCAACCTATGTATCTTTACAACCGGTTTACCTGTTTCAAGCTTTGTGTCGACACAACTGTTTACCTGTTCCAACCTATGTATCTCTACAACCGGTTTGCCTGTTCCAAGCTTTGTGTCTACACAACTGTTTGCCTGTTCCATGCAATGTTTCTTTATATTCTGTTTACCTGTACCAACCGATGTATCTTTATGACATGTTTACCTGTTCCAAGCTATGTTTCTTTACAACCTGTTTACCTGTTCCAAGCTATGTTTCTTTACAACCTGTTTACCTGTTCCATGCTATGTTTCTTTATAACCTGTTTACCTGTTCCAAGCTTTGTGTCTATACAACCTGTTTACCTGCTCCAAGCTATGTTTCTTTATAACCTCTTTACCTGTTCCAAGCTATGTTTCTTTATAACCTCTTTACCTGTTCTGATCTATGTTTCTTTACGACCGGTTTACCTGTTCCAAGCTTTGTGTCTACACTATATTCACTCATCCGACCTATCACTCACATTCTCCCATCACGTCCGACCAAAAATCCATAACGATAAATAGTCATTAGATTTTCAGTCATATTAGTGTCACACGGTGTATCCTAAGACAGTGTTACACCATCTGTAGTCAGGTTAGTTAACTGCTCAGGGGCCCGCAAGCTTTAAGCAAGCCAAATAAGCTCAGATGTGCCAATGTTCATGAAGGACAGGCTCTGCCCGTCTTGGTCAATAATTGCCTTCCTAAGTCATTTTATGATATCGCGACCATGTAAAGTGAATTTCCGTTGGGTATTATTCGGTCCTGTGGAATCGTTGACGACTTTAGCAGGGCTTATGTGTGTTATTCGAGATCTCATCATCTTCCATGTCGCTCCTCTGTCCACCCCTGCGTGGTCGAGCTGGTACACACACGACCCCTTGGCTGTGGCGTGGTCACCCCCATATCCCCATCCGAGTACACAAATCCTGAAACACATGGTGTCTCCCCGTTTGAGACTGTTCTCTAACAATCTCCCTCTATCTCCCTGACTCGGGGTGTTCTATAACCGGCCTCTCTCACGATCCCTGCCTCGAGCTGTTCTGTTACCAATCTCCCACTACCCAAAGTCTCGGCCTGGTCTATAACCAATCTCCCTCTACCCCAATGTCTCGGCCTGTTCTATAACCAGTCTCCCTGTCTCGGTCTTTTCTATAACCAATCTCCCTTTCTCGGTCTGTTCTATAACCAATCTCCCTGTCTCGGCCTGTTCTATAACCAGTCTCCCTGTCTCGGCCTGTTCTATAACCAGTCTCCCTGTCTCAGCCTGTTCTATAACCAATCTCCCTGTCTCAACCAGTTCTATAACCAGTCTCCCTGTCAAAACCAGTTCTATAACCAATCTCCTTGTCTCGGTCTGTTATATAACCAGTCTCCCTGTCTCGGCCTGTTCTATAACCAATCTCCCTGTCTCGGCCTGTTCTATAACCAGTCTCCCTCCCTCGGTCTGTTCCATAACCAATCACCCCGTCTCGGCCTGTTCTATAACCAATCTCCCTGCCTCGGTCTGTTCTATAACCAATCTCCCTGTCTCGGTCTGTTCCATAACCAATCTCCCTGTCTCGGCCTGTTCTATAACCAATCTCCCTCCCTCGGTCTGTTCCATAACCAATCACCCCGTCTCGGCCTGTTCTATAACCAATCTCCCTGTCTCGGTCTGTTCTATAACCAGTCTCCCTGTCTCGGTCTGTTCCATAACCAATCTCCCTGTCTCGGCCTGTTCTATAACCAATCTCCCTGTTTCGGTCTGTTCTATAACCAGTCTCCCTGTCTCGGCCTGTTCTATAACCAATCTCCCTGTCTCGGCCTGTTCTATAACCAATCTCCCTCCCTCGGTCTGTTCCATAACCAGTCTCCCTGTCTCGGCCTGTTCCATAACCAATCTCCCTGTCTCGGTCTGTTCTATAACCAATCTCCCTGTCTCGAGCTGTTCTATAAACACCCGGTGTCTTCCCGTCTGAGACTGCTCTCTAACAATCTCCCCCTACACACCTGACTCGGGATGTTCTGTAACCAGTCTCTCTCATGATCCTTGCCTCGAGCTGTTCTATGACCAATCTCCTTCTACCCAATGTCTCGGCCTGTTCTATAACCAATCTCCCTCTAACCCAATGTCTCGGCCTGTTCTATACCCAGTCTCCCTCTACCCCAATGTCTCGGCCTGTTCCATAACCAATCACCCCGTCTCGGCCTTTTCTATAACCAATCTCCCTGTCTCGGCCTGTTCTATATCCAGTCTCCCTCCCTTGGTCTGTTCTATAATCTCCGTCAATCTCCCAAACTGAGGCTGTTCTATGACCAGTCACCACCTCTCTCCTGACTGAGGCTGTTCCGTTCGATCTACCGGGGGCTGCAAAGTTGCTTATCCCTTCTTCTCCAGGACCTTGCCCCTTTCTCTACACCTGTCTCCCTTACCCCGTCACTTGGGGGCTGCTGTAGAACACGTATCAGTTTTTCTCCCCCTCTCGTGAGACAGTAACGGCCTGTGGGTAAAGAAATCCTTCCCTCTTGACTTTTCCGCAGAGTCTGGCCTAATGAAGAAGCAATGTTTAACTAATTACAAACAGACTTTATTACGGCTATAAGTGGCCCTGGGGATACCTTCTCCCTGCACCAGCATCCCCCTCAACATGTGCAGGGGCAGCAGCATCACAGCGGCTAAAACACGCTGAACCAATGGCAAACCAAGGCTGTCAAGTCCTGTGTCGCTCTCCAATAAAAGTCAAGACCGAACGCCCAACTGGTACAGGAAACTAGGGTGGCTACACGCCCCCGTATTTCATCAACACCCGTCACACAGACAACACTACTTTGTGGAAAATAGCAGCAGTGCATTTGCAGGATATTATTGTCTATGTGACGTAGAGGGACTGGCGTGTTGTGAGGTGTACATAAGACCGAGATCGTACACCCAGACGCTGTAACCAGGCGCTGGGGGCTGGCGACCACTACTGCAGAAAAACAGAATCATTTGAAACCTCTCAAGACTTTTCAAGAATAGTAACCAGGTGAGAGTATGTCGCTGTATAGATGTATATGTTCATCAGTGTCAGACTATCCTTCTTGCGAGGTTAAACATGTTTCCATTACTTCTATAAGACAAAAGTAGGTAAAACGATATGTTACTGTTGATACCTTTTGTTTATTGATTTATTCGTTTGATAAAGAAATTCATGGTTTGTTTATGACATTTACGTCATGTCCTTTACTCGGATAATGAGTACGTCACACAGGGCATGTAGACGATGACGTCATACATCAGTCTCAATGTCGCGGAAGTTGTAAGATGCCAATTTAAACTTTATTTTCATTGTGTCTTTCACTAAATCATAATTAAACCGAGACATGCAGCTGATGATTTTATGAAAAGAATAAAGGATGAATATGTGATGTACATAAATTGATTTAGAAAATCATTAACAGACGGTTTAAACATGAATTATGCACGTAGCTGCATCATTCACACTCTCATGGCGTCAGCTGTGAAATTATTAGGTGAGATTGTTCATGAATGCAGCGACCTTCTTCATGATATACATAAAATGAAACCCTGTCAATCCGGACGGTATGCAGCGACCTTCTTCATAAAATACATAAAATGAAACCCTGTCAATCCGGACGGTACTGTTCAAAGTAAAATCGTCTGGATTAGCAAATGTTCGGATTAACGCATTATGGTTTCTCATTAATGTCCTCGATATAATTAGATATTCATTCAGTAATTATCCGAAACGCATGGCTCCCTGATCAGCTGGATCCAGAATTCGGAGGTTTCATTGTATAGATATGCCATTATTTCATCACAGGAAGAATTTGAATAAAAAGAATCTGATTGTAAATGATTAAAAAACAAAAATATTCTAATTCTAATTTTCTAATTTTATATTTAATGTTTTTGCCAAGACTCTAATAGTTGGCTAAGTGTTCCTGATAGCGGCATAGGAATCAAAACCAAATATCTTTACATAAATTATTGTAAAAGACCAAAAACAGGATCGTGGTATCGACAAAGAGACGCGCATGTATGTGGCCAAATTGGAACTAAAACTTAACGCGCGGCGTGGTTCAAACACCTGCTGTCGGGTTGTGCTTAAAATAACACCCCTTCTAATGATTTCCCCGAGGAAATAAATATTATACGGTATAAGTACAAAGATTATAATATTATAATATTCTTTCCTTTGTTCCGAAAGAATATCTATCTTCATCAATTGAATATTTCCTTCAAAAAAATTCATCCGTATTGGAATAAGTACAGGGCTAAGTTATCAATCGTCGCGGAGGTTGCCATGGCAATAACCTTTGAATCGAATGAATATATCATTCATTCTTCAATTGTCCTCACACGTGTATATGTCAACATATTCGTAATTACATAGTTGCAGCCAAACTTCTCTATTCACATGAATAATTTCTATCTCTTGAAATAATGGTGAAATGTCATTCTTTAAACAAACAAAAAAAGTCAGCTTGCAAGAACCGGCATACGTGCATTTATTTGTGATGTTTTTTTTTTTAGAAACTAACTAAAAAATGAAGTTTTAATGTACAATGGATGTCCAAAACATGTTGTGTCAAATAAGACGATGTTGAAATAGGGACAAACAAAATTCTGACCGAAATTTTAGATTCCTCTGAATATGAAATATGCCAGTCTAGCGAAACCTTGCTTTATTCTATGTCAAAACAATCAAAAACAATTCGAGGTATACATTAGTAGAGGCAAGGGAGGGTTTATTGCGCGTGGTATTTCCGATCAGGATTCTAGCTGGACGATATGTTACGGATGTGTTTCGGTCTGTCATGAATAATGACATTAATAGGAATAATGCTGATTGTAGAGTTTAACAACATTCATTCATTCATTCATTCATTCATTCATTCATTCATTCATTCATTCTTTTATTTGAACCACTTTATAAAGACTTTTTAAGTGTTAGTCTTACCGTGTGCTAATTCCTTCGATCAGTGTCGATAGGCTGGCAATATGCCAAACCTGAGCCTTCTTTTTAACATAAGGTGTTTGGTTCTTGTTAAAATTAAAGTCACTGCGGGCACGATCTTGTGATGCTATGCCTTGTGACAAAGTTGACTCACTGCACGTTTCTTTGATAGATTCGTATACAGTCTTTTCCGGAGAAAAAGAACTTAAACATTGATCAGTTTGTTGCTTCAGTTTGGTGTGATTGTTTAAAGCCGCGCTCAGCAATATTCCAGCTATATGACGGCGGTCTTTAAATAATGGAGTCTGGACTAGACAATCCAGTGATTGAAACCATGAGCATCGATCTACGCGAACGAGATACGATGATATGCATCAACCAAGTCAGTGAGGCTGACCTCCCGATTTCGCTAGTCATCTCTTACGACAAGCCTAGTCGCCTCTTACGACAAACATGGGTTACCGAAGACCTATTCCAAACCGGATCTTCACGGGTCTGTTTGGTGGCCGATTTCCTTGGTCCATCAGCAACATGACAGAGTTCGTAGGTAAATGTCTACGACTAAGAAGGGTGGCTTAATCGAACCAAGATCTTATCCCTACTCTATCACTAACTTATGAGCTCAAAGCGGTAAATGCCTACGACCTTTGTCACATTTATTTTCATTCGACATTTATGTAATATAATGAAATAATACCTTTCCAAGTTTGTAAAACCATGAGTCGCTCACGTTTCTTTAAACCTTGACCTGCAGGTGTAGTAGGCTCAAACGACTCCCCCTAAATTTGACTCTAGAGTGATATGGGCCTAGGCTCACATGACTCCCCTAGCCAGGCTCAAAACATTCCCTCTAGGCTCAACTCCCAAACTGGGCCCAAATGACTCCCCTTGTTTTGAATTTAAATGATTACAGAAAAGATCAAACATATCTGGTATTATAAGGTTTTCAACCCCTCTTCCTCATTTTCTATTTTGAAATGATAGGTTAAGGACAATCCCCAATGATGTTTTGGTACCACTTATTTTATTACAGTTTTATATTTAACTTTATTTGGAAAAAAATTAAATCACTATACTTTTCTTAACCTATAATTTATTTTCAGAATACTCCCTGTGTCCTACATCCAATTCTTTCATTTCAGGCTCAAACTACTCCCCCTATTCTATATCCGATTCTAGAGTATCAACCTCAAACTACTCCCCCAAATTCTATATCCGATTCTTTCATATCAGGCTCAAACTACTCCCCCTATTCTATATCCGATTCTTTCATATCAGGCTCAAACTACTCCCCCTATTCAATATCCAATTCTTTCATATCAGGCTCAAACTACTCCCCCTATTCTACATCCAATTCTTTCATATCAGGCTCAAACTACTCCCCCTATTCTATATCCAATTCTTTCATATCAGGCTCAAACTACTCCCCCTATTCTATATCCAATTCTTTCAAATCAGGCTCAAACTACTCCCCCTATTCTATATCCAATTCTTTCACATCAGGCTCAAACTACTCCCCCTATTCTATATCCAATTCTTTCATATCAGGCTCAAACTACTCCCCCTATTCTATATCCAATTCTTTCATATCAGGCTCAAACTACTCCCCCTATTCTATATCCAATTCTTTAATACCAGGCTCAAACTACTCCCCCTATTCTATATCCAATTCTTTCATATCAGGCTCAAACTACTCCCCCTATTCTATATCCAATTCTTTCATATCAGGCTCAAACTACTCCCCCTATTCTATATCCAATTCTTTCATATCAGGCTCAAACTACTCCCCCTATTCTATATCCAATTCATTCATATCAGGCTGAAACTACGCCCCCTATTCTATATCCAATTCCTTAATATCAGGCTCAAACTACTCCCCCTATTCTATATCCAATCTTTCATATCAGGCTCAAACTACTCCCCCTATTCTATATCCAATTCTTTCATATCAGGCTCAAACTACTCCCCCTATTCAATATCCGATTCTTGAGTATCAGGCTCAAACTACTCCGCCTATTCTATATCAAATTCTTTAATACCAGGCTCAAACTACTCCCCTATTCTATATCCAATTCTTTCATATCAGGCTCAAACTACTCCCCCTATTCTATATCCAATTCTTTCATATCAGGCTCAAACTACTCCCCCTATTCTTTTTCCAATTGTTTCATATCAGGCTCAAACTACTCCCCCTATTCAATATCCGATTCTTGAGTATCAGGCTCAAACTACTCCCCCTATTCTACATCCAATTGTTTCATATCAGGCTCAAACTACTCCCCCTATTCTATATCCAATTCCTTAATATCAGGCTCAAACTACTCCCCCTCATCTATATCCAATTCTTTCATATCAGGCTCAAACTACGCCCCCTATTCTATATCCGATTATTTCATATCAGGCTCAAACTACTCCCCCTATTCTATATCCAATTCCTTAATATCAGGCTCAAACTACTCCCCCTCATCTATATCCAATTCTTTCATATCAGGCTCAAACTACACCCCCTATTCTATATCCGATTCTAGAGTATCAGGCTCAAACTACGCCCCCTATTCTTTTTCCAATTGTTTCATATCAGGCTCAGGCTGAGTACGGCATTCACAGACTGTTGCACAATCAGTGTCAAAACATTTGTTTCTTCAAAACAAATGGGGGGAGTCATTTGAGCCTGGGGAGTTATCTGAGCCTACGACGGGGGAGTCATTTGGGCCTAAGGGGAGTCGTCTAAGCCTGGGGAGTCATACACCGGTACCCGAGTTACAACAGGCCTCCAGCATTATATTGGATTGGTGATTTGGTTGATTGCCAATCGTCGTCCCCCGCTGCTTACAATCTCAACCTCTGGGTCAACTAAACATTTGGCCTGGGTTGTAATATATAACCAATTCCCTTCCACTGATTTACCCACCTGAACCAGAAATAAAGGATACCGCCTGATCTGTTTCATATTTAGATCTGTGCATACAGATTCAGAATGACAAAACACTTCCTACAAGACTGTATGACAAGAGGGATGACTTCAACTTTCCAATAGTCAACTTTCCCTTTCTGTCGGGCGGTAT